GGTAGATAGATAGATAGATAGATAGATAGATAGATAGATAGATAGATAGATAGATAGATAGATAGATAGATAGATAGATAGATAGATAGATAGATAGATAGATAGACAGAGAGAGAGATAAAGAGCATCCATTAAAATGCCAATAATATGGTACTAATATTACCATTGCCATACTACTTACCTGTGCAGCAACTCCATAGAGTTATATAAAACACTAGAGTGCACACTGGTCACATGACCTCGTGACTTTGTGATTCACAGAAGTGATGTCTGTCATCACCAAACAGTCAAACTTCTGCACTTTGTGTTTAGACTAAATAGCCCAGAGTAAGGGCTGACTATGTCAAAAATGTCAAAAATTGTAATAAAATGTGTGTACTGTATTATAAAAATAATGTAATATAAGAATGTATATAGAACACAATGCCAGAAAGCTGTGTGTTAGCAACAGAAGAGAAAATAGAAAATGAGTCAGAGTGTAAGCAGATTGTTTCTTATTTACCACATTGTGATCCGACCAGAACTGAAGCTAATTATATAACTGTTTAAAAGTTGCCTATAAAGCTGATGTAACTGCTGTTATTGAACTGACCAGTTGACAGTAGCTCCTGTGGCAGATGTTGTTATGCTGTACAGGCTGAATCAAGCTACAACTTAGTACAAATAATTAAATAGTACAAGCTGCTCTTGCATCTGGTAACAGTTCATTATACGCTCTGCCTGAATGCTGAAAATGTACTTTTTAAGTTTAGGTATAGATTAGACACTGATCACTGCAAGAGCCTACATACACACAATTTACATGTTAAAACAGTTAGTTTCAAATTCATAAACTAGTTGAAGTCATCATTATTCAACTAGCTAAAAAAAGTCTTGAAATCATTGGAAGTCAGTCATTAGTTATTTAACTTCAGGTCTAGTTTAGATCATCATTACCCAGAATATTTTCCTCCAATTACATATAGCAGTTTTACGTGATTGTTGTATGAAATTAACATAAATTATCTTGTTATTGTAAAGATTATAATAATTTGTGACACAGGTCTGGTTGGCTTTGCTGTTAATTGTCGGCTGTGAGCAGTTGCCTGTTTTCGCCATCTTAGTTTCTCCGTGATGTCACAAATGTAAACAATGGGCGGATGGGCAGTGCACACTCTAGTTCTTTTAAATAACTCTGACCTCCTCCTGCCACAGCTCTCCCTACAGGCCCTAGCTATTACTGTCTCCTCCTGCTGCTGTCCAGTTCAGTCCATAATTAGAACCAGATCCCTCCGTCCCTATAAAAGGTTTAAAAGGGTCAACAAAAGCAATGTCTCCTATGTAAAATACAAGGTTCCTGCCACCCCGTTGACCATTACAAGAGCCCACAGCAACCGCAATATTGGACTCTAACATCTCTTACAGGAAAAGGACTTATTTTCCAAGATCTCTTGAATGAACATAAATTTGACTTCTTGAATAGTACAGAAACCTGACTACAACCCAATAACTTCCATCCATCCATCCATTATCTTTACCCGCTTGTTCCATTTTGGGTCACGGGGGTCGCTGGTGCCCATGTCCAGCAATCACTGTGCGAGGGGCGGGGTACACCCTGGACGGGTCGCAAGTCCATCACAGGGCCACATAGAGACACACGAGACAAACAACCATTCACTCTCTCACTCATACCTAGGGACAATTTAGAGTTACCAAACCCAATAACTTTTCACTACTAAATGAATCTGCACCACTGGGCATCAAAACATCTCCCACTACTGCCATTTTTTAAATCCCACATATTAACTCTCTTCTTTAAACATGCTTACCTGTGCCCACGCCAACCTCCTTGTCAAACTACCTGTGTTATATTTATGTTATGAGTGATGTTTGTATTTTTATTTTTGTTTTTACTGCATTTTACATTGTATTTTTATAGCAGTTCTTTTTCAGCGTGCCGGTCACACGCGCCCTCAGAACACATCTGTAGCATTGTGCTGTGTGATAAAACTTCACATTTTAGAGCGGCCTTTTATTGTGGTCAGCCTAAGACACACCTGTGCATTAACCATGCTGTCTAATAGCATCTTGATATGCCACACCTGGGAGGTGGATGGGTTATATCGCCATAGGAGAAGTGCTCACTAACACAGATTTACACAAAGTTGTGAACAATATTTGAGAGAAAGTGTGTATGTCTACATAATAATAATAAGTCTTAGATCTTTGCGTTCAGCTCGTTAAAAATAGGAGCAAAAATGAAAGTGTTGTGTTTATATATTTGTTCAGTATATTATTATTATTATTATTGTATTTATCATTATCCATTCATCCATCATCATCTTTGCCTGCTTCTTCTTTTCGGGTTATGGCAGTCATTGGTGCCCATATCCAGTCATCACTGTGCGAGAGGTGGGGGACACCCTGGACAGGTCTCCAGTCCATCACAGGGACACATAGAGACCAACTCTCTCACTCACACCTAGGAACAATTTAGAGTTACCAATCAGCCTAACATGCATGTTTTTGGTCTGTGAGTGGAAACTGAAGTACCTAGAGAAAACCCATGCATGCACAGAGAGAACATGCAAACTCAACCCAGAAAGGCCCCTGGCCGGGATTTGACCCGGCAACCTTCTTGCTGAGAAGCAACTGCTCTACCAAGTGAGCCAACATCCATCCAT